GGGCGCGAGCTGACCCTCCCGCAGCAGGGCCGCGCGCCCCCGAGGCTCCTCCCAGACCAGGGGCTCGCAGTGAGGTGTGGGGCTGGAAGCCCCCCGCAGGCGAGGCGGGGATTAAGACGAGGCCGCGCCTCCGCCCCGCTCAGCTGAGCAGGCTGCGCCCAACAGCCCACCCCTGGGACCTCGATAGTGCACCTCGGCTTGGCTGTTTTAAAACCCGACGCTCAGGGATCACCTCACCACACCCCCCCACCTCGGGGAATACCCACACCTCGGAAACCCCACGGGACAGGACGCGCACCAAAGCAAGACAACCCCTGCTTCGAGACTTCCCGCACCCGCAAAGTTGCTCTCAGATAGGCAGGTTCCGACAAGGAAGGGTGGTGGCAGGAGCCGACCACACCCTGGGGAGCCAGAAGGAGGCCCAGGTAAGAAGTTGTTAGCTCTGGAAAGGTGGAGGCGGAGGGTGTAGGACACTAGAGCCCGGGCCCAGGTCGAAGGTCCACAGCTGGTCCGGGTGGCCCCAGCTGGAGCCCACCCCACGCCGCAGAAGGCACTCCCAACGGCTCCTACTCCAGCAGACTTCAGGGGCTCAGAGGGCGCAGGCTAGCAAGCAGCCCAACTCTGTATGGAGCTAGACTTGATGTCCCTCAAAAGTGCTCCCAGGTCCAGGACTCCCCAAGTAGCTCAGGAAGACAACCCGGCCTTGCGGCCTTGCTCTAGGGAAACCACTTCCTCGCTGCAGCCCACAGCAGACTTCCTCGCAGAGGGTCACTAAACTTCCCAGTAACAAACTTGCGCTATGACTTAGGGCAGGGCAGCTTCACTCAACAGAAATTGGCAGAGATAGCAGCCTCATTTGCCCTAGAGAACAACGGGAGTGGAAACGGCAGGCTAGATCTGTCCAAGGTCTGTCTTTGCTGGCTAACCACCCAAGGCTTTGTGGCCAATAAGGCAGAAAGGGTGGAACAGGAGGTGGTGGTAATAGAAGGCAATGGGAAACTGATTGTTAAATATTTTATTTTGTAATCAAAATAGTCAATACAAACCAGTTGACATAACAAGGATTCATATAAATAACTGCTTATAAACTTTATGAGGAAAAATACCCGTGAGCATGGTGGCTGGGCTCCCAGCACAGGGTGGAGACCAACCAGGCGGCTCTGCTTTTAAGAGGCAGGAGCCCAGAGGCTGAGGGGCTGGCCGGGTGGAGCTGTTCTGAATGGAAGGGATAAGTCACTCCACAAATAAAACACAAACTTGTAAAAACACTTAAGGAGGAGTCTCATTCAAGTCTAGGAATGAGGTCCAGGATGCTGTCTAACTGCCTGAAGCTTTGCAAGAATCTGTGGCTGCCTCTGTGCTCCTGAACTGCTCCCAGGTCCACATTTGTAGCCCCTGCTTGGCCAGCACAAGATCAAGAGGAGCCCTGAGCCAGTCTAATGACCAGACACAAACAAATGGGTGTGAGATCCTCCTTAAACGAGGCAAGAGAGAACCAGAAAACAGGGCCCCCAAAGCCCCAGTGAAACAAACCCAAGAAAACACTGGAAGTCAATATATCCTAGGTACTCTGAACCCAGAGCAGGAAAGGGAAAGGACTCCAGCCCCCAAACCAGAGAGGCACAAATGAGGGGGCAGGGCACTGACCCAGCCCCAAGGGGAGGAGGTGAGAAGCTTAACAGCTGCCCTATAGCATTCTGAGGGAAATTCTGCATAAACCCAGAGCCATAGAAAGGGCTTTATACTCTTTGTCAAAGCTCAAGAAGGGGATACCTGGGAAGCCTGAGAGCAAAGGAGAAGGAGGTCCATGGGGGTGTTTTAATCACATGACCAGGACCCCAAAGACAAAGGGCAGCTGGAGAATAGGGAGCTTATAAAATGGCATGGTAGCACAGGTGAAGGAGCCCTGACTATAATCCCTAAGCTCCAATTTTAGTGGGTACTTTGTTGAGGCTTTTGTGAGAGTAAGATAATGTTGAGGAAGCAGCAATAGGACCGGGCCTAAGAAAACCCAGAAAGCCAGCATAGCTCCCAGGACATCTGACACAGGGCACCCGAGAGGTCTCAGCCGGTCATTATGACCAGTACTCGGTCTTCCCAGGTCCCTCTGATGAGCTCTGGGCATTAGCAAGTTCAAGGTACGGAGCGGGAATGAATGTGGATCCATCCCAGAGGACGGAGAAGGTTGATGACACGAACCTGAGGCTGGCAACAGTCTGCAAGAGGACTTATCAGTCAACCTGCAAAAGGTAATTAGTGACAAGCCCTCAAAGGGTGCATCAGGATGAGAGCACGGATGCAATCCACAGTGGCAAAGCCAGTGTGGAGGAGGGGCAGATAGTTCTCTAATTAGCCGGCGGCCCCAGGTGCGGGCTCTTATCTCCCCTTTGCCTCTTCTCTTTGGGAATAGCAGCAGACAGGAGGCAGGAGATTTATCAGGACAGGACACACCGGACTGGGCTCTCAGACCAAATCCTCCAGGGAGGGCTAGAGCCTGCCCCACTCCCAACATTCCTCACTGTGTGACACAGTTCTCCCCCATATCCTGAGCGTATCTGTCTGACATGGTGGTCCTTAAGTCCTCGATGTCACGGCGTAGTTGTTGAACCTCTTCTAGTTTTCTCCTGATCACGTCCGGCTTGTGCAAATCTAGCTGAGTGCCTGGGTGCTGCGCAGCTGTGGAGGAGAGCATTTCATGAGAAATTAGTAAGCCATTTAGGAGATGTGTTCATGTGGGGGCGGTAAGCAGACAGGCAGTCCCTTGAGGACCTAAGTCTTAGGATGACCACCACTCAGCAAAGCAGCAGACTGGTAGATTAGCTTGCAGTCTAAGGCTACTTTCTGTTTGTCCTGCACCTGGTACCCCAGAGGGAAGCCTACTTCCAAAACAGATTTACTTCCAAAACAGATTTACTGAACACCTACTCTGCAAGACACATGAACTTCAGAGGGGAGTAACCAGGCCTATGTGGCCCAGTTCACACACTACCGTAAGGATAGGAAAGTGGGATGGGGGGCGTGGAGCATGAAAGCTACTCTCTCAGACCCCAGGTTGGCCTGAGCACTCACAGTGGATGCCCAGGAGCAGAGAGAGGTTGGGATCATGGCCCTGGGCCCTCTGAGTTACGATGCTACAGACAGCTTGCAGATCTTGAAGGCAACTGGCCAATTCCTGGTGCAGCTCAAATACTAGCTGGGCTGTATCTGGTGAAGATGGAGACCCTGGCTGGGCCTGGCGCAGGTGTTCCTGGAGCGTCAAATTCTTCTCAATAAGGTCCTGGTTCTGCACTGAAAGCTGAGCAGATAAGACAGGGAAGCATGTTAATGGAAGTCTGGGAAGACACAGAATCCGCACAGGTGTAGATGTGTGTACATTTGTACCGAGGGGAGGCACTGAGTCACCCTCCCCACCCTACACCATGGGCTGGTTCCTGCTGCAGTTAGGCCAGGCCCACAGGGCTCCCGCGTTGGAGAGGAAACGCTCCCTGCAGACTCTGAGTCACCAGCCTCTGGGTTTCTGTTCAGGAACTAGAGAAGATACTCCCGCCCCTCAGAACTCTATCTGGAGCTGGTCCCTCCGCCAGCTCTGTTAGCCAGGCTATTAGAGAAGGCTTAACGTGAACTGAAATCTGAGTCGATGCTGGTTTCAATCTCTCCCTGCCACCCTGCCAAAAATGGCCACCAGCCAGTCTGATCAACGTGTGTCAGAAGAATAAAGGGGGCAAACAGACATGACAGCAACACTGGGCTGGAAAAGCCAGAACTGGAGGCAGTACTCTTCCGTCTTTACAAACCTTCACCTCAGTGGAATTTGGCTTCACTGACTAGACCAGCTATTCATGTGTATCTGTGTCATCTTCCCTCTCTCCCTGAACAGCTTAACCCTTCCTGCCTCAACTCTGTTCCTCCTCCAGTACTAGTCCTTTACCCACACTGGGCCATAGGACAATCCCAGCTCTAGGAGACTCCTTCCCAGGCACTTGGCCAGTGACTGCTACCCACTGACAGTTCTGCTTACCTTCAGGTGACCACCAAACCATCTGTCCTCTCTGCAACTGGACAAACTTGTGGCTGCAGGCAGGCAAAGGGAATTTCCAAGAACACTTCCAAGAACTATTTCTGGGTAATCATAGCCACCCTAAGACAGGCTAGAGATCTTAAGTAAAAGGTGATACAATGTCTTTCTATTTTGTCAAAGAAATCTCAGCGGGGGCCTCTCAAACCCAGGGGCTACTGAGGAACAGGGAAAGGGAAGGCACACAGGGGTCTCGTCGAGGCGGCTCACCTCGTCGAGGCGGCTCACCTCTTTCACAGCTGTGCGCAGTTGCTGCAGTGCGGTCTCTCTCCGTTGGGCTTCCTCTTTCAGGGCCTGGCTGGTTCCTTCTTCTTGAGCCACTTCCTGTTCTAGGCTCTGACTCCATGGCAAGGAGTGGTGGAAGAACATACCACAAGTAACAAGCTAGCATCATACCATATTGCTTCTGGCTGGGACTATACAGTAAAGTCCACTCTGCCCATACCCTACTGCTAAGAGATTATTTTAGAGCAGCCTTGATCTGTGACTTCCCATTTTAAACCCTTCTACAGGGTATTCCAGGCCAGTCTGGCCCTTTACTTCACTTACTCTTCTCACCCTATCTCTTTAACTCTCTGCACAGCCAAGGTTTTCAGGTTTCCATTTGTCCAGACTAAATTCTGCTTTCCAAGGCCCACCTGAGCCTTCTTCAGTCTGTGTATCAGATCCAATTAGTCCTAACTCCTTCCTGCTACTCATACCTCCATCATGGCTCATGTTGAGTATGTGTGTGGCTCTTTCCTCCCCTAAACCATGTTTTTTTTAAAGATATATATATATATTTTTTTTTTTTAAAGATTTATTTATTTGTGCATACAGAACTGGGGTACAGACCAGAGGCTCAGGGGCGGCGAGAGGCTTCACCAGAGACAGAGTGGGGAGCAGAACAGGCAGATCTACAAAGTACACTGCTTAGGGGAGCAGCGGGTGGGTCAGGAGAGGTCTGCCACACCATGTGGTCACCTCCGGGGCAGGCAGGGATCGAACTTATGCGGAAGTGGCTTTAGCTTCTCAGTGTTGTGCTTTAACCCGCTGCGCCACCAGGGAGGGCCTTAAAGATATATTTTTATTTATGCATATAAGAACTAGGGTGTAGGCCAGAGACTTGGGCGGTGAGAGGATTCACCAGAGACAGAGTTGGGAGCAGAACAGGCAGATTGACTGAAATACACTATTGAGGGGAGCAGCAGGCAAGACAGAAGAGGTCTGCTGCGCCATGTGGGTCAGCTCCCTGGCCAGGAATCGAACTCAATCTGCAGTGGCTGGCGACAGCGTCATAGCAGTGAGACTTTAACCCTTGCACCATCAGGGAGGCCCAAAATATTGGGCTTTTTCAAACTATATGGAACTCAGGGTCCCAGAAAACCTACTCTGAGATCATCTGAAAACTCTACCAAAGACTTGGAATTTTAAACAGTTAAACACATGCTAGGCTCGACAACTTAACAGGACTTGAAATTGGTGAACTAGATAGATACAGCCCAACTCACATAATGGCAAAGGCAGGACTACGGCTTACAGCTACCCCTGTGAGTGCATTTCATCTATTTTGCTGTGAAAACCTCTTATGAAGTCCAGAGAGAACCTGAGTGAACCTGCTTTACCTAAGATTTCTTGGAGAACTCAAGGAGACTCCCACCCACTCTGACTCAAAAGAGCAGCTCAGAGTCACCTTTGATTTTTCCTTATCCTCAACCACTGATTTCTCTCAATTTAATCTCCTAAGTTTCTCTTAAAGCTGTCCCTTCACATCTCCTTGCTCTGCTGTCTTCATTCTCTCTCACTAGGATCTCTGCCATTTGTCCACTGTGTTCTAGCCTTGCATCTTTCCACGTGGCACTTCGAGCCTGAGTTGCAAACCTGACAACATCACACCTCACTTAAATGCTGCCCTAGGTCCTATCACTTACTTAGAGAATAAAAGCTAATTTAGCTGGAGAGACAAAATCTTCTCATAACTCATTTCTCCACTTAGCATCTTTCTTCAGATAAACTGCTTGCAGCTCCATGTTTAAACCATGTTTCCTGTTTCCGTGTTCCTATCTGTGCCGTTCTCCTACCTGCAATTCTCACACTGTTCTACCTAGTGGCTCTTCTTTGCCTGGCTAACTCTTCCTCCTCCTCCTTTAGAGCTCATGATCTTTGTAAGTCCTTGAATGCCTCTCCCTCTGAGAATTCTATATTCCCCCAAGGAAATATGACAGTTACGGTGCTGAAATCCTTTCCCAGTAAGAACAGGTTAAAATTACTGACTGGCGCCTCCCTGGTGGCACAGCGGTTAAGTCTCAGCACTATCAAGCTATTGCCAGTCACTGCAGCACGAGTTCCATTCCTGGCCAGGGAGCTGACCCACATGGCACAGCAGACCTCTTCCGTCCTGTCCACTGCTCCCCTCAGCAGTGTATTTCAATAGATCTGCCTGTTCTGCTCCCTCTTTGTCTCTGTTAAATCTCCTCAACCACTTGCAGTTCTGGCCTACACCCCAGTTCCTATATGCATAAAATAAATCTTAAAAAAAAAAAATCTTAAGGAAATAAAAAATGGCCGGGCTCTCATTGTTGTTTTAACATTGAGCAAACTGCATGGCAGAGAATAAAAAAGTATTGGCTCAATTCCAGGGATTCCATCATTAAATCCTTCCCCCATGATCTTAAAGACTCTAGCTCACCTCTACTTGTGAACGTAACTGATCCATCTTCTGCTGTTGCTTTTCCACAATCTACAAAGCAAAATTATCAAGGAAGATTGTTGGTGAGGTTAGAGGGCAAGAGGCTGCTCTAGGTTCTGCAATTAGCCCCAGCAGCAATAGCTAGACAATAGTGAGACCAGGGGGACATTAGCTCTACCTACAGAACTGTAACCCAGACTCCCTATTCTGGTTAACTAAGCTTCACACTCCGATGCTCAGTCACAGGTTTAGACAAGAATATAGTGTGGATCATGACCAATCCTGGGAGAGTGAGGGACATACCCTCACCCTGATAACTACTTTGTATAGCCAGGATACATTCTGGTTTTCAGTAAATGACATTACTAAAAATTCAGGATAAGAAGCCCTATCTTAGGGCAGCCCTAAAGCTTTGGTCATATTGACTATCCAACACGAAAACTGAACAGGCTCGTTTCCTGTCACTTAAGGCTTCATGCATTGAATGAACCATTTCTGGGTCTTTTGTTGTTGTTGACCTGTGATCAGTCTCATTATAGGCCCTGGCTGCTGCTTTAGTGAATTAGAGCCACCTCATTGGTCAGAAGCAGTGAATGAAGTGCACCAACGTTCAGTACACCATTCTGGATATCTACTTTAGATGTTCAGAGGGCTGTCCCCCTAACTTTCTTTGCCTGTCACAGAGATGAATATGTAAAATACAAGCTTAGTATGGAGGGGTGACTTCTCAGAAGAGAAAGTAAGTTCTGGGTAGCAGATCATAAGTGGCCCAGGGCCAGAAATTTATGGCCCATCCCAATACTCAATCATGGCCTTTCACCCTACCCCCACTGCAACCAGTCACCTTTCGGAGGGAATCACATTCTTTCTGCCAGGACTCTATTTCCACTCCTGGACCTTCTTGTGAACCTTCTCCACTGGCTGCCTCCACACACTGCTTGTCTTCCAAGCTGAAAGACAGTGGCCTCTTCAAGAACTCTGAATTCAGGGAGATAGGGCTTTGACTCCTGATTCTGCTACTTACAGTATGTTTTAGGGCAAACATCTTAAGCTGTGCACAGTTGGGGATAATGTCTTAAGTCTGTCGTAACACAGGGCGTGTCACACAGAAGCTGTTTAGTATATGCTAGTTTCCTTCCCTAGAGACTGGTATCTATATGATGTGTCACCAACTATCTGCCCACGTTCATTTACCCTTTCATATTTAACAATAGGCATTCATCACATGCATTCAGAATATGGAAGTCATACATTTTGGAGAGTAGACATTTTGGAAAATACCAAATGAAAGTTCCTTTTTCTGCCTTGGCACACATAGTTTGTCCCCTAATGTCATTTCTGGTGCCAACCAATGGTCTCCTTCAGTAGATTCCCACAATCACTTTCATCATGGCCCATTTGCAGGTATAAACAAGTGGGTCAATGTAATTGAATTCAGGATGAAAAATCAAATTCATCTCAGTAGACACTGGATTTGGTCCAAGAGGCTGATGAAACACAATTCTAACACTTTCAGAAACTGCTATTAATATGGAGGCAGTTCCCAAGACACCTAGAGAATACATTCTTGCATCTTGTTTTGTTCTCAGAACCTGTTGTGGCAATTGAGAGCAATCCCTAGCGTGGAGGAGGAACAGATGCTCCTGGTAGCCTCTGTTTACAATGCTCAAAATGTGGATAACTTCCAAGTCCTCAGCACCAGGATCCGGTTTTCCAGATACACAGTAACATTTCCCAATTTATAAAGTGCTTTCATTCAATCCACACAAGCATACCCAAGGATTATCATCCTGGATTATTACGCCTGGTACTGGGTTAGATCCCTCCAAAGGATATAATGACAGGCCCCCACTATGGCTCCCATACTACATCTCAAAGAGCTGACTCCTTACGCCCTGCCTTCCTATTACTCACAAGCCAAAGGAAATAAAATTCAGAGAGGTAGTGAGTGGGGGGCAAGAACCACACCCTGGCTTTCACTCTAAACCCGCAGGGCTGTTTACCTGTGTTTAATGGAGGAGAGGTCTGTGTCCCCATGTCTAAGGCTTCCCAGTTGAACTTCCTTCTCTCTGCAGGCTGTCTGGGTCTCCTCCAGCAAACTCTCCAGCTCGGTCACTCTCTCCTGCAGCTCTGCGCTCTTCAACTCAGAATCCTTAAGCTGAGAGACAGGATCCCACACTTAGGTCAACAAGTCATAGAAGACTGTGTAGGTATATCAAAAAAATTTGCAGCCCAGTTGCAAATCTGACAGGTGTGAGTCTGGACATGAGTCCTTTGGGATGTTCCTTTCAGGAGGCCAGAGGGTAACTGCACACAGCAGAGGCTGAGAAAGTCCCCCTGCCTGGCCTTTCCCCGCTTGCCCCAGGTATGCCCACACATTGCTGCTACCTGCTGGCTCTGCTTCTGATGGTCTTCTAGAGTGGGCAGGTCAGCCAGGTAGCGCTCCAAGGTTTCAATACGCTGCTGCTTCTCCCGGTTCTGCTCTGACTCCTTTTGACATTTCTTTTTCAAATTATTGATATGTTTATCACGACCCCTGACCTAGAGAAAGAAATGGAAGAATCTGTCTCCATTCACTACTCTGGATATCTAAACATTGACTTTTTTTCCCTTACTTCCTTTTTAAACATTAGCTTTTTTCCCAAGTGACTAACTTCTGTTTTTAGGGCTAGTGAAGCTCATTAAATTTTACTATCTGTGATGGCATAAACTGCAGAGTAAAAACACAGTTGAAATTTTCAGTCAGTATCTGGGAAGAAAGACTCTTTGGGTGGTTTTTAAAAACAGGTAGAGCTTCTGTACAATAAAGAATTTGGTCTGTGTCCTAGGTTTCTAGGAGGTAGCCTCTAAATGCTTAAAATTTCATGCTACTGAGATAATTCAAAATAGGGGCAACTAGGACGTGAAAATAAAGCTGAGGAGTGGAGTGGGGCAGGAGACTGAGTTCCATTATACCTGCAAAGTAAGCCCCAGTAAAAGCTCTGAACACGAGCTTCCTGGGTGAGCACGTGGGTACAGTGGGAGGGTGACATGCCTTGATTTCATGGGGTGAAGCCAGAAGGCAGGCTCACTACCTAGACCTCACCCTATGTGTCTCTTTGTTTGCCTCGTCCTGATCGGTATCCTTTATGAAAGGTAATCACAAGATAGCACTTGACTGAGTTCTGAGTTACTCTGATGAATTACTGAACTTGAAGGGGTCACGACTGATGAATAATATGGGTGGCCCAGGGAACCCAGAGCTTGCCATTGGTATGTGCAGCAAAGTGCAGTCCTGTTGCAGGCTGCAGGGTCTGACCCTAACCTCTGGGCGGTATGCATTACAACTGAACTGCAGCATATACACCTCTCCCTGTGGCCAGCAAACCAGTCTGGTGAGTAGGTGATGCAGTCTCCCTTAAACATCACACCTGATGCGCAAAGCTAAACAGTAGTTGAGCAGAGCGAAGGAGGAAGAGCCGAGTGTGTTTTGTTCACTTCATGTCCCCAGTACATAGCACAATGCCTGGCACAGAGCAGGCACTCACTCAAGATCTGCTGAATGGAAACTTTCTTTACTGTTCTGGCTTTTTCTCTGGCTTATGAGAAAGAAAGCAAGAGAAATAAGAGGAAAAAGTAATACAAATTTATTGATGTCAAAGAGGAGGCATAGGTCTATTTTAATCCAAAAATAGTGCCTAGAGCTTTCTGAAAATTGGCCAAAAGCTTCACACTACTTATGATCTGTACTCTAAGTTCTGAAGCAGTGATTTTCACACTTTGCTACAAATTGCAGTACCCCGAGAAGTTTACTGACCATGCTGAAAAAAACACTAAAAAAATGGTGACTTGATTACAGATGTTTCTCTTCTTTCAAAACAGCTCTACAACGATAGTATGAAAATAACTGCAATTACAATAAAATAGGGCAGGAAAAAGTCTCCATAGAAAACACAAATTTAGTGTTAAAACGATCTGTCTGCTTCTTGGACTGTTGAACCAAACTGCTAACATTAAAAAATAATTTACAAAAATGAGAATGACTTGTTTGAAGGAACAGACAGAGAACTGTTACTTTGTGAGTCCCTGCACCTGACCATTTTATCCCATGACTCCTCCAGTTGACCATTACCTCATCCTCCTTTACTTCATCACTCTTGTTCTCTCTAAAAGAAAAAGAAAACAACCCTGACTTTTGTTGCACCTGTGGACATGTTTGGATTTTTACTTATTATCTGTAGATCTCAGATTGCAATTCTCCACTATTCCCAAGTAAATACATGTCCGCTTGCCTGTTGATCTTGCGCTCTCTTATTGAAAGTTAACATTTATAGTGCCAGAAGTCAGACTGGAAGACAATAAACCCTGGTGGCTATTTGTCACCCCAGCCAGGTTGAAGGTGTCACTCTCAAAACACAGCTCATGAGCACCTTACAGTCACTCCAGGTTGGAAGTCTGCTCTGGATTCCAAGTCTGTGAGGAACAAGTTTTACACCTTTGCTTGGGTGGCACCTTTGTTTGGCATTTGTTTCAAAGGCCTAGTCTCTGCTGGGGATTTTCCCTTTGGTGAGTACTCTTCAAATCTTTTGTCATGGAATTCAAGCTTCTGACTACAAGTATGCTAGCATTTGGTATAATTAGGTATAAAGGCTGTGGCCTTTCTGCAAACAATTCTAGTAAGAGTTTTTTAGCTCCCATTCTGGAACTACAGTTAGTTATAACCTGATAATTTTGGTCTGTCTTTTAGCCATTTCTGCTTAAATTGAACAGAATAACTAAAGAAAATTTAGGTCGCCCTGGTAGCACAGGGGTTAACGTCTCAGCACTAAACAGCTATCTGCCGCCTGAGTTCAATCTCCTGCCAGGGAGCTGACCCACGTGGTGCAGCAGACTTCTCTTGTCTCCCCGCTGCTCCCCTCAGCAGTGTATTTCAGTCTGTCTGCCTGTTCTGCTCCCAACTCTGTCTCTGGTGAATCCTCTCACCACTCCCCCTCCCTCCCAACCCTCTGCACCTCTGGCCGATACCCCAGCTCTTGTGTGCATAAATAAATCTTTAAAAAAAAGTAACTAAAAATAATCTAGAATTACAATAGTCATCTTGGGATCCCTGAGACCTCTCAAAATTGGAAAAGCACGGATCGAAAACAAAGCAAACGGAATAGGATGCTTATTATCTGGTGTTTAGATAGCCTTCAAGAGATAGACTCTAAAATTATGTCCCTCAAAATCTATCACAAATCTAAGGGCAATACACAACTAAAGATGATGAAGCTCTGCAATCTCACACCTCTGCTGTCCTTCTCCTGCTCTGCTAGCCACTACCTGGATTCTGAGTCCAATGGAGCTGTCTAATATTACCAGAAATGTTTATTTTTTTGTTTGATCCAGCAAGAACCTTTTAAGATATTTAAAGGGATCTGTCTACAAAATAATTAACTCCATAAGAAATTTTATTTGGCCAAACTGGAAGCGTCTGATAGCAATCTATTTTTACAATCCTTTGCAAAATCTGATTGCAAAGTTTCATTCCCAGAGTTTTGTATCCCAGGTATTATTTTATCTGGACTATTGTTCTAAGACACAAACCTCAGGAAGATAATAGAAGAGGAAAAAAAGAGATAAGAGAGGTAGCCCTTTTAAAAATAAAAGTGGTATATGAAGGTTTAGCCAAAATTCAAAATTTAGCCCACTGAAATTATGTACCCAATTCATGGCCAAAAATTTAAAGCCATAGGTCAATGTTTACATCTGTTTATGCTGTATGTTACAGATACGTAATTTTTTTCTTACCTCTGGATGGTATTACTAAAGTTAATTTAAGTGACTTACAAGTACCTTTATATGTTATTTCTAAAACTTAGGGAAAAAAATAGAAACTAACTCAAGTGGTTTTTCAAGTTAATATGACCCCAGATAATTTTTGGTAAATGGAGGTTAGCTCAAATTTTGGTTTGATTAAATAGGCATGTCTTTAAGTTATCAGTAATGATAATGCCTTTATTCTACCTGGGCTTATTAACTTAAATAAGCTCCTGTATACGCTAAACATAATTTTTTGTACTTTTGTGTAGAACTGGGGTATAGGCCAGTGATGTAGGGTGGGAGTGAAGGGCTTAACTCCAGAGACAAGTGTGTGGAGCAGAACAGGTGGATCTACTGAAATACACCACTGAGGAGAGCAGCGGAGGAGACAGGAGTGGTCTATTGCAATATGTGGGTCAGCTCCCTGGCCTGGGATCGAACTTATGCTGTAGCAGTGATAGTGCTGAGACTTAACCCCATGGCCGTTTAGATTTATTTATTTATGCATATAGTACTGGGGTACAAGCCAGAAGTGCAGGGGCAGTGAGAGGATTCACCAGAGACAGAGTGGGGAGCAGAACAGTCCGAATGAGGAAGTACACTGCTGAGGGGAGCAGCGGGGCGGGTCAGGAGAGGTCTGCTGCGCCATGTGGGTGTCACCTCTGGGGAGGGGATCCAAAACACTGAAGCAGCTGAGGCTAGCTTGCAGTGCTGCATTTTAACCTGTTATGACACCAGGGAGGGCCCATCCCCTAGGCCATTTTTATAGTTACCTTTAAACCAGATCTAACTCTTGGTCTGGATCAAACTGGCAACATTCCAAGAAGCCTACAAGAATGAGAATATCCTGTTTGACAGGACTGATAAGAGCATTTACCTATTTTTTTGACCCCTTCATCTGACCATTTTACCTTGCAACACCTACCTCTGACCATTACACTTCAGCCTTCTTTCCCCCTATTAAACAAAAAACAACTTTTGTCTCTCCTTGGAACATACTTTAGGTTTTTACCTAAATCTGTATACCCCAAATTGAAATTCTCTGCTAATCCCAAATTAACACATTTTGGCTTGTCTGCTATACTTGATGTTCCCTTATTGAGGGTTAACAACAGGAAAGAAATAGCCAGTAAAGGAAGGAACAAATGTCTATGAAGAAATTTCAATGTGTTTTTACAGTGGAGTTAAAATCTACAGTGGGAGTTAAAGTTTTGAAAGAATGTATTCTTTTTAACAGCCAAGCACTTCTGAAGGACTCAGAAGTATTGTGATGCCTCTGAGACAGGTATTAGCCACAGACTGAAAGTAGGAAATTCACCACAAATCTATACACAGGTTAGCTGGATACCATCCTCACTCTTAATTCCCCCAACAGGTCTCAAGGCTAGAAACTTAAGTCTCTGGAGAAATCAAGTGAGACCCAAGTCTTAATGATCTCAATCCGGCAGAGAGGTAAAGTACTAGGCTGAAAATAAGTATAAGTAAAAATCTATGTACAAAATTGTGGGACTCTAAACCTAATCTCATTTTCAGTGATAAGAACCTAAAGGCCAAAAGCATACTGACCCCTCCTCTCCTGGGTATTGGGCAAAGATTCATTTCTAGACAGAGTAAGATAAGACACTCAGATGGTGATGTTTGAATGTTCCATATGAAAAAGACAATCTAAACCTGACAATCCTAGTGTCAAGGCCGGCAGGCAATTAGAACAAACAAATACTTCTATCAGCATTTAAATACTTCATTCTTAAATAGGAGAGCCCACCTATGCAAGGATGGCTGTCTTTAACATGAAAGACACTAAAGCAAAAGGACATCAGAAAAACAAGAAATTCTATAAGCAAGTATAAACGTCCTCAACAGCTATCATTATCATCAGAGAGGTAAGATATCACATTTATTGCACAAAAATAGCAAAATATGCATTTACTATTCAGAAATATAAAGGAGAAAAAAAAGAAAAGGATGAATTCCTTTGTGAAGTGGGGCTGGGACACAAACTAACTTTATTATAAGCATTAATATTTGATATTTAACTTACTACATGTATTATTCTGATTGAAAATTTCTTTTCTGCTGTACCATGACGGAGACCATGGGTGTTTATTGGCAATGCAGGATCTCAAGTCCCCACCCCTCCCAGAACCATGACTCTGGGCTAGCATATTTCAGCAAGCTCTCCAAGTGACTCTTAAGCTCATTAAAACTGATTTGATGCAAGTGGCCCAGAACTAAACATTACTACTCTGGTACCCCAAAATAATCTCCAATGGAGCAAGTTATAAAGAGAACCAAGAGATTTTAAACCACCTCTTTCTAGGATGACCAATCTTACCCTGAAGCAATTCTAAGAGCACACAAACTAACAAACAAAACCTTCTGCAAACTTCATGCATGCAGGAAATGCTTATCCACTTTAAATTTATTTTGAAAAAGATTTGTTTATACATATAAGACCTGGGGTGTAGGCCTGGGGTTGGGACGGAGGGGCGGTGTGTAAGAGGATTCAGAGACAGAGTAGGAAGCAGAACAGGAAGATCAGAGCCACTGAAGTACACTGCTGGGGGAGCAGGGGGTGAGAGAAAAGAGGTCCACCGAGCTCCCTGGCCAAGGATCAAATTCACCTTGCAGTGGCTGGTGACCGCCTGATAGTGCTGTCTTTAACCCCTGCACCACCAAGGAGGCCCCTCTTAACTACTATTTAATGTGGGGTTTCATAAGGAAAAAACAGCCCGGGGCCTCCCTGCTGGGTCACTGGTTAAGTCTCAGCTCTATCAAGCTATCTACAGCCACTGCAGCATGGTTGCAGTGGCCAGGGAGCTGACCCGCATGGCACAGGAGACCTCTCCTGCCTCACCCGCTGCTCCCCTCCACAGTTTATGTCAGTCCATCTGCCTGTTCTGCTCCCCACTCTGTCTCTGGTGAAGCCTCTCACCACCCGAACCTCTGGCCTGCACCCCATTCTTGTACGCATAAATAAATAAATCATAAAAAAAAATACGAAGAAATAGCTAAGTGATGTGAATTTACTACATTGTTTACACATACATCTTGCAACCCAGCCATCAGGCATGACTGCACAGGCAGGTTTGTGCTCAGTTCAGCTAGTGGCATATCCCCACTTGGAGCAGAAGGCACACAGTTTTACCTCTCGACAGTAATTCTGTGGGTGAAACAGAAAGGAGAGGTTCTATTTCTAGTAAATGTCCTACACGAGAAGAAAAATCTAGTTTCTCACCTGAATGGTTCTTTCTGGTTCCAATAATGGGGGCCAGTAACAGCTTAGGCTTTTAGCAAAAAATGACAGATTACTAAATCTTGTGACTTATAGCACTATCACTTCTCAGACTCACCCTTTCCTCCTGTTTCTTCCCCTCCTCTGAATGCTTCTGCAACGCCACTTTGAGTGACTCTCTGATGAGCTGAATTTCAACTTCTGAAGCAGAGAGTTTCTTTTCAAGCTCCATTTTTTCTTTGCTCAAGGCTTCAGTCTTCTGTGCAAATTGAGCACGTAAGAAAGTGTTCTCTCGCTGCAATTCCTGCCAGAAAGAGTATTCAATACATAACTATTCCTTACCCTACAGTCCTAAGGACTTTAATTATCCCCAGCAACTTTGTGATCAATTAGCATTTCCAAATAGCATCTCTCAGAGTGGTTCTAGGACTAACAGCATTAGCAGCACCTGGGAGTTTGTTAGCAATGAACTCTTGTGGGCCCTCCCTGGTGGCACAGCAGGTTAAAGCATAGCACTACGAAGCTAGCTGCAGCCACTGCAGCACGAGTTCAATTCCCAGCCAGGGAGGTGACCCAAATGGTGTGGCAGACCTCTCCTGACCCTGACCAGCCCGCTGCTCCCCTCAGCAGTGTATTTCAGTCAATCTGCCTGTTCTGCTCCTCGGTCTCTGGTGAAGTCTCACCCCACCCTCCACCTCTAGCCTGTATCACAGTTCTTGTATGTATGTATAAAGAAAGAAAGAAAGAAAGAAATGAATTCTGAAATCTACTCCAAGGCCCACTGAATCAGAATCACTGGAGAGAGGCCCCCAAAGTCAGGAGTTCTAAGCTCCAGGTGATTCTGATGCAGCACTAAGGAGCTGTACCATATGGGAGGCACACATCACAAGGGAGGACAAGACATCAGAAGACCTGGGCTCAACAATTCTCCACTCATTCTCTATATAACCTTAATAGATACTCTAAATCTAACTTATTTCTTAGACCTCAACTTTTTTTTTTAATCAGTAAATTAAAGCACTAAATTAGAGTGTTTCTAAGGACTACTTTCAAATATACCGTACAAGACAGAACACTATCTTAACAGGCACACCAGAGAGAAAAGCAAGTACGACCATCTATTACCCATTACTCAAAAACCGAAACTGCAGAAGAAACTTGTTCAACAAAACAGGTTCCTTTCAGAACTACTGAATTCAGTGAGACTATGGTTTCCCCTTCAGCAGCTCCTAGACATGCAGAATAAAAAGAAGCATGGTTCCAAGCCCTGCCACTACTGTTTCTCACTTCATTTGGCCAGGGTTGATGGATTAGAACTTCTCAAAGTATCACCCGACTCTAGAACCTTGCCCTATGCACTGTGTCCCTTGCTCTGCCTTCCTGTTCTCCCTGACACGAAGGAACCCAGCCTTCTATCTGCTCCAACTCTCAAGACTTTTCTACCCCCACAGGGACAGAAGATGGGATGCTTTATAACGAGGGTGTTTATTCTTTGAGAGCAGCTGTGCTTACATCAGTTGGTCTTTTTTCTATCTTCTGGTGCCAAGCACAGGAGTTGTGACAAGCACAATGCCATCTTGACTAGCAAAGCTTACCTGCAGCCTCAGCAGACAGACATCCCCGAAGGGGGCGGGGCGGCCCAAAAGGGCACTGTGGACTTGTAGTTCACTCTCTCGCACTTTCTGCTCCAGCTGAGAGATGTGTTTCCTCTGCCTGCAAATGCAAACAGAATAAAGTCCAGGGGTCCTGACACTATACCATTTGCAATATAAACCCCCACTTTCCTCAGATGGGTATAATCTATAAGCAAAAAGATGCTGTATCCTGAGCAGGAATATTCTGCTGAAGGAGGAAGAGCAAATGAGAAAGCTGATTGAGGGAAAATAAGGACAGATCAGTCACAAAGAACCAGTGCTCCCAGCGCCCTTGCAGAACTACAAGACTTACTGTATTAGTCAGATACAGGTCTTGGCTGCTTATCAGCCTAGTTCTATCATGGGCAAGGCATGAGCCTGAACAGGAGGGGTATGCTGCACCTGGGAGGAACCTCACTAGGGCGAGGAAAGCAGAGGCTGGCTTATGTTACCACTTGTCCTCTTACTTGTCGATAAGGAGCTCCTTTTCCTTCAGAAGATGCTCATTGCTGTTCAAGATGCTGATCCACTGTGCTGGCTCTAAGGTGGGCAGTGAAGAAGCAAAAGCAGCAGGATGGTGGCAGATGGCTCCATTCTGAAGCTGGAAAAGACAAGCAGGCCGAGAGGGCTTGATGACCCACTGGCACCTGAGAACACCTGAGCAGTCCCAGCTCGGTCTGTAAGCAAAGCCCACTTTGGCTCAGTCTGAGAAGGCCCAGTGTTTCTGAAATAATTTTAGCTCTGATGCATGACTACAAAGAACCTGCCAGGGAGACTTCTGCCAACTGAACACTCCCTGCTCAGAAGGGCTCCAGTTTCTAAGAAAAGGTCAGTTATCTTTCACTATATGGCAGCAGAGGCAGACCAGGAGTTAAAATGTCCTCAGCAACCAGGAAAGGAGAATATGCCATTTCTTTCCTTCCTTAAGCAGAAAAAGGATTTTTTTTTCCTTTTTTAATACAAAAACGGTACAGTGGAAGAACAGGATTCAAAGGAGACTTTTAAGGACCAATTCAGCCACTTACCAGTTTTCTTTTTTCTTGAACAGGCTGCTTATTCTAAGAATCTGGTCAATTTCTACATTGACTTCATCAGGGTTCTACAGGGATTAAGTAAGGCTCTGTATGTCAAAGTACCTAGCATAATGACAAGTCACAAGTACAGAAATACCCTGTTTGTGTGGCTAGGAGGTCCCTTTGCTTTGGACTCTCTCTGGTATTTAATTAGATGGCCAACAGAAGCAGTGGCATTCTTTCTAACAATCATTTTCTTTAGAGTCAAAACTTCTAAGACAAAACATATACAATCCCAAGATCTGCACAAAACCTGCAAAATTCAAGGAATGAAGATTCTTTACCTGCATTTGCTCCATCTGCAAACGGATCAACTCCAGCTGCTGTCGACAAGTGCTGAGCTCACAAGCTCTTTCCCGGGGATGCCAAGGATCAGAACTAGGCTGCCATACCGGAGAGGGTAGAGGCTTTGAGAGCCCAGGAGCGGGTTGGAGTCCCAAAGGGAGCACCCCGTTGCTGCGTGGGTGTGGTCCACTCCGCTCACACACTGCCCCACTGCCTGGTGCCTTCTTGGTCTCAGGCAACACTTTGTACAACTCCTTGTTTGTGTCAGTTCTTTGGTTGTGGAAGTGGACTCGGTAGTGGGGATCTGAATAAAGTGTCTCCATCATTGCTGACTGATTGAAGGTAGACTCCATACTGGGAATATCAAATTTCCTCACCTCCTCTTCTCTTTCATGGCCCACTGCTGGAAACCAGGACTGCTCAATGCCATTTTCTCCAGCAGCACCACAAAGGTACATGAAGTCTCTAGATAGGCCTGGAGAACGTTTCATTGCACCAAGGTCTCCATTTCTTGTCATTCCTACACTTTCAGGCAACCCTGACAAATGAAGTTTGGAGGATGAGGGTACAGCAGGTGAAGAATTTGGCTTGGCAGAAGAGGTCCCCAAAGTAGAAGGCATCACATGGGCTGTTGGAATGGTTACATGGCTTTTGATGGGCTGGAAAGATGGGCTGCTATTTGAGCTGCAAAAATCTGCGAAGAGAATAGTCATCCATAAGTCAAAAGTGAAGCAGCAAGTTTTCTTGATTTTGGCACTCTGTCAGACATCCTGTGTCTGTCTGGAAACCAAGCAGGCTGGGCATTATGATCAGAAGCTCAGGCAGACAGAGCAGAGCCTAAGCGGGAGTAAATAGGCTAAATCAAATGCCATTCAAGGTAAACCAATAAAAGGCAACATTTCACTTTTAACTTATAATCTGTCCTTTGAATTTGAAATTTAAAAATCTTAACAATCAACCAAAGCTAAAAATTGAACTTAAAAAAAAAAATCACTTACTTAAGGGAAATGGACTAGGTCCCACTCTTCTGGAATCTGAGTAACACTGAACTATAATCCAGTCTAATAAATATGTCCTTTCCAAGCGCTGCCAGAGTCCTCTGTGACCTTCAAAAGCTCCCCCGTGGAGGTGAGCATGGAATCTAAACTCTCCAAAGAATAAAGCAAGCTGGACAGTGCTCTCTGTGTTCAAGGCTGGGAGTGCAGCGTCTGAATCAGAGTCTGTTCTCTCCCCCACAGGCCAGATCTGACTGCATAGATATATGAAGCTATTTTTAGTGACTCTCAGGTTTCACCCCAGCACAGTGAGCACTCTTCTGTAGACACACTGAAATCCTCTATTTTATACTTTGCCTTTCACTCATTTATATACAACTATGTCTTTTCACTTTTCTTTCTGCCTGGATTTATGCTTTCTTTAGTTCTTGCTTAGTCCTGGCAGAAAACTTCCTGATTAACCCTACTATAGAAGTTTCATTATTTCTTCATATCACCAAATTTTTAACACTATCCCGAGGATTTTAAGATCACAGAACTAAGGTATGTGCTATGGCAGTGGGCTGCAAGCAAATAAGCCAGGAATGTGAGGAAACTGAGTAATGGGACAGGACTGTAAGCTTTCCTTTTTCATCTATATCCAGTACTTTTTCCAAACCAAGCACATCTACCATAGAGAAGGATGGAGTACCAATTTGTTTCTTTTTTTCTTTCCAACAATCAACACAAAACACAAAGAAACCTTTACTGTTCTGTTTCCTTAACTTCCCTAGCCTCAGGCAACCATGTCTATTTCCTGTGTATACACTGGATTGGCCTATTCTGGACATTTCATATAAATGGGATCATATAATATATGGCCTTTTGTATCTGTTTTTTTTTTTTTTCATTTAGTATAAGTAATTAAGTACCAAAGTGCTTAGTTTGAAGTAAACATTGAAGTAAACATTGGTTTACAACATTAGATAGGATTTACATGTATAGGATCACACCCTACAGGTGTATGTCACCATCACACCCCCCACCAAGGCACTAAAAGTCCTCTACCATAGTCCTCTCCCCACAAAGTGACTATTTGTGTGACTTGAACCAACTCATTTAACATTTTGAAAATCATTTTTCTCATCTGTAAAATGGAAACAATAACACAGTCCATAATTCTTAGACATTAATAAAAGAATGTAAAAAAATAAGCATAGCAGCCATCATAAAATATTTAATAGCAGATATTATGCTAGGTCTTGTCTTCCAAATCATTTAAATTAAAAACAAAACAAACCATTTTTGTAAAATAATACCCAGTCATTCTTTTAATTCTAAGAGCAAAAACTAATGGCAAAAACAGTAAGATACACGCTTGCAAAAAACAGCAGTCAGTAGAGGGTGGAAGGGGTGGGAAGTTTCGAGAGACAAATTTTTTTTATTTCAATAGATCCTGAAAAGTAAGATTAGCACAAGTGAGAGGGGCAAGATGAGGTGCTTTTACAGTAAAACAACAGACCTGGAATAGTAAGAAAGATGCTTGAATAGGTCCAGATATGAGGCCTTTGAACTTCATCTTTCAACTAGAGCATTTGGAGAAAAGTAAAACTGTGAATCAGGTTTTTATAGATTCATAATCTGTCAATAGAGGGAAAAACTTGAGGCCAAGAGATCTGCTAGGAACTCATTTCCGATGTAACAGCAGAAATTGAGAGGATGAGAGCAGCTATGTGAAGCACGGGGTAAGGAGAGTGGAGCAGATTCCTATGCTAAATATTCTGACTTAAGAACTTCCTGGAAGACATAATGGACTTGGAACACAATTGGAAAATGGCAACACACACTGGTAGTCAAACTATTAACCCAAGCTTACCCTCCGCAATGTCTGAGCACGACGTGCCGATGGCTGTGTCTCCACTGTCAGCTACACTTGAACAGCGGCTGAAGCGGCTCCGAAAGGCCTCTGAGATAACTGGGGTCTGCCATTCAGTCCCCAGGGAGCTGACCTTCTGAATCACACTGGAACCTGAAACAAGTGGCATTTCCCACATTTAGTATAAACCAGCTGATATAACTCCATTATAAGACTTATTTTTTAATCACTTAAAACAATAAAATAAAATAGCAACAATTCGCCCTTTCTCTCTCCTGTGCCTATTTCAGTTACTCTGAGTCAGTTAATTTTAAATGGAAATGCAGCATGAGATGCGAATGTCCAAAGACAAAAACAAGACCTACCGAGAATCTCTGAGTGCTGGCACAGAAAACAATGTTTGACAGCAGTTGCCATTTTTGAAACCTTGAAGTCACAGCACATTACAAACATGATTTACCTACTTAATGTAAAGTACTATTATCCCAATTTTGCACAAGACAATGCTAAGATTTGAACAGTTTGTTTTGATTCCAACATCCACATTTTCTCCTCTTACAAAGTTTCATAAAGGTGATTTTGGCATTCTGGGCATGCCAATTCTTCAGTGTGCAGGATGGCATCTTTGGTCCCCAGAAGCAGTCCTCATCTTACCATCACTATGAAACTCCTAAATACCCCATGTTTTCAGATGCTCTCTAGGTTATAAACAATCTAGGCCTCTGTTGAAACCATGTTTATTGAACAAGGGCAGGTGTCATGGGCATGGTGAATTCAGATCAAACTGAGTCATGAAGTTCTAGCTGAAGAGTTTAAGGCTGAAGGCAATAAAAAGGAACCATTAAAGTGTCTGAGCTAATAAGGCAAAACCAAGACTGATGAGATTTATTTGACTGTTTGAAGGTTGATAAGTAGATAGGATTCAATAGAAACAATCTAACATCCTAGTAAAGACTTAAATTCAATTTTTTTAAAAAAGCACTGTAATTTTTCTAAATTGCATCTGATGATCCATGTAAACAAATAAGCCTAATGGTAATGACAGCTACTTCTCCATTTAAAGTGTCAGAGTTTGAGTTGAATTAATAATGGTTTTACAGACTCCAATTTGGTAAAAGCAGATGACATCTGAACACAAATCACCTTATTTGCTTTCCAAATTTGGTGCTTTTCCCATCTTTTAAAATTTACTTTCTTCTACTTTTTTTGGCTAGCCTTCTACTTTCTATTGCAGGCAACCTAACTTCCCCCAAGGGTTCCTTTTATTCTTTGGGTCACAGTGGACTGCTTGATTTGCAATAATCACACACAATAATCTGTGATAATCTTTTAACAGAAAACATAGCCAACAATTGGAGCTTCTGACCAGCATAATAACCACTATACTAAGTAAGTGTAATTCTAGCCAGAAGCAAAGAAATTTGACCTCTTGGTGAATCTGTATAGTGTTCTCTGCTAGTCAGTGACAGCCTGCCAGGATTGAGGACCTTTTTTACCATGTTCTTGGCCTCCTACCAGAAACCTCTCCTTGCTAACACTACTTACCTTTATTCTTCACCATAACCATCACTATTCCATCCACCCATTCCATACATCATTTTCTAGAGATGGTACAAGCAGGCTTTGGTAGCCACCAATATTAAAGCCACTTTAATCTGAATGAGTGACTACTGAAGAGAGTCATCAGAAAACAGTTGAAATTACTACATTGCAAATACTTGCAATATATACCTAAGTGTCCTAAGAACTGTAAATATGTCCTGCGACGGTCAGTCTAGCACGTAACGAGTATTCAATAAATTAGTACTTGCTAAATGGATCATGAATTGATCAAAAATGCTTATCACATACTATACTACATGCACATACTATATGCAAGGCAGCCTGTCTAGAATATAACAAATATCTACCAAATGTTTGCTATTAAGGCCCTGTGAAATTTTAAAGTTATTTTTTTAAAAAACGATTGCAAAGTATTTTTTAAAAGATTTATTTATTTTCTTACAGAAGAACTGGGGTATAGGCCAGAGGCTGGGTCGTGGGGGGTGAAAGGACTTACCAGAGTAGAGAGCAGAACAGGCAAAACTACCAAAATACACTGCTGAGGAGAGCAGTGGGCAAGACAGGAGAGGTCTGCTGTGCCATGTAGATTAGCTCCCTGGCTGAGAATAAGTCAGGGTGTAAATTCTGAAGCTTAACCCTTAGGCCACCAGAAAACCCTTTAAAGTTGAATAAAATGTGTCCTTTCCTTTATAAATACCACAGAATTCAAAGTTTTTAAAAAATATACCTTATCTACTTAATATGTATACTGAGATTGTATATATTTGTCAATCCATTTTGAAGGTAAATTTCTAGCTCTCCAATATAAGTAAGCCAACATGTTGGCACTGAAGAAAAAGTTCAATTTCTGTGGTGAGATGACTAACCCACCCCCCCAGGAGTACAAAGACAACATAGAATACAATAATTTATGCTGTGTTTTGCTGGTTTCAAATAGAACTATGTTCCACAGTCATTCTGTGCCAATCTGTGTCCTCCCCTCCCAACCCATCACATGGTCTTGTTGGAAGTCATGTTGGACCAGAAATAAATAGTTGCTGTCTTAGACAGACCTGTTTTTCCATTCAATGTGGTCCCCTATTATTTTTTGTTATTTTAGTACAAGCATTTCAGTGAATGCTTGTTTGCTCAGTATTTCCTTTAAAGGAAATTTGTTATGAAATAACAAAGTGAAGGTCAGAATTTAACCCAGAACACTTTGATTACTCACCTGGTGAAGAGACATGAGTGTTCCTCTCACTTGGGTATTTCTCCTGCATCGCCATCAACAGAGTTATTTGAGCCACTTGTATAATGAAGAAAAAACTAGAGTAAGAGCTCTCCAATATCTTTAATTTTCTGTACTTTGGCTCCCACTTAACTAAAACTGTATAAACCAGAGTAGTCTTTCACATTTTACTCCTAGGAATATTTTTTTTTTTTTTAAAGATTTATTTATTTGTACATACAGAACTGGGGTATAGGCCAGAGACTCAGGGGCAGTGAGAGACTTCACCAGAGACAGAGTGGGGAGCAGAACAGGCAGATCGAGGAAGTATACTGCTGAGGGGAGCAGCGGGCGGGTCAGGAGAGGTCTGCCACACCATGTGGTCTCCTCCGGGGTAGGCGGGAATCGAACTCATGCGGAAGTGGCTTTAGCTTCTCAGTGCAGTGCTTTAACCCGCTGCGCCACCAGGGAGGGCCCTCCTAGGAATATTTTTAAGGTAAAGCAACTCCCAACACTCCACCCTACACTCTTTTTTTTTAAAGATTTATTTGTGCATACAGAACTGGGGTACAGGACAGAGGTGCAGGGACGGTGAGAGGATTCATCAGAGACAGAGTGGGGAGCAGTACACTATTGAGGATAGCAGTGGGCGCGCTAGGAGAGGTCTGCCGTGCCATGTGGTCACCTCCAGGGCAGGCAGGGATCAAACTCATGCGGAAGTGGTTTTAGTTTCTTAGTGCTGTGCTTTAACCTGCTGTGCTTTATACCTGCTGCGCCACCAGGGAGGGCCCCCTACACTCTCTTTCTTTTTAAGAGAATTTATTTATGCATACAAGAGCTAGGGTACAGGCCAGAGGTGCGGGGGTGAGAGGCTTCACCAGAGACAGATTGGGGAGCAGAGCAGGCAGATCTACTGAAATACACTGCTGAGGGGAGCAATGGGCAAGACAGGAGAGGTCTGCTGCGCCATGTGGGTCAGCTCCCTGGCAGGGGATCGAACTCATGCTGCTGTGGCTGCAGACAGCTTCATAGTGCTGTGACCTAATGCCTTGTGCTACTGGGGAGATCCAAGAAAATCAACTTTGAAGGGGAAAAAGTTCTGTACATACTCTTTCTCTAGTGTACTTTACTGACCTCTGTAGTTTTATCTCAGTAACAACAACCAAAATCCTCACTAATTCTACATCAGCAATAGAAATGGCACCATTCCCTTGAATCCCAAGTTTTCACACACTGGGTAACTGTTGACTGTTCAGTTTGGGGCTAGTATCATTCAGTGTTAATGGTGACACAAAGATCATACTACCTATATATCAGTGATTTCAAATAGTCATGTCAAAATCCTTTTCTTCATCCCTTTCTTTAAAGTGTAAGAAATGGCTGGGCCACTGTATTCTGAGACCTTTATAAATTCAGATGAATAGAAAACATGATGACAAAATATCTAGCAGTAATACATAGTTATCCTATCCTCCGGAGTTCTACTCTTAAATTAAGAAAAGAAAAGCATATGTCCACACAAAAACTTGTACATTAATAACAGCATTATTTATAATTGCTAGAAAATTTAAAGATTTCAAAATTCAATAACTAACAAGTGAATGCAGTGTATCAATATAATAGAATATTCTATTGATAATAAAATGAATGAAGTACTGATATGTGCTATAGGGATGAATGTTGAAAATATTAAGCTAAGAGAAAGAAGCCAAATATTAAGAGGCCACATACTGCATGATTCCATTTCTATGAAATATTCAGAATCAGCAGATCCTTAGCGACAGTAATTACTGGCTTTCAGGAACTAAGGAGAGTGGTGGAGAGCTGTGGAATGAATGCTAGTGGATATGGTGTTTCTTCCTTTCCAGGATGTGCAAATGTTCTGAGATTTGGGCCCTCCCTGGTGGCACAGTGGGTTAAAGCGCAGCACTAAGAAGCTATCTGCAGCCACTGCAGCACGAGTTTGATTCCCCGCCAGGGAGATGGCATGGCAGACATCTCGTCTTGCCCACTGCTCCCCTCAGCAGTATACTTCATCAATCTGCCTGTTCTGCTCCCCACTCTGTTTCTGGTGAATCCTCCCACTCTACACAACCCCCAACCTCCACAACTCTGGCCTGTATCCCAGTTCTATAAGCATAAATAATCTTTAAAATAATGTTCTGAGATTATAGAGTGGACAGCTGCACAGCCTTGTGAATATTCTAAGTCCACTGAACTACACACACACAGAACTGAACTTTATGGTATATGAATTGCATCTCTTTTTAAAGAACTACAAGGGATACAATGGTAAAGAATAGTTAGTTACTGACTTTTTTCTAAATTCAGAAATAGATATGCTACTACTAGTGAAAAATTTTTGGACCATTTGAAGATAACAGATTTCCTGAGATAAAAGCTAGAAAAATGAGTATGCAAGAAATTACAGATAACCTATTATATAGCCAAGAAATGTAGGAGAATGGAGGAAAACAGGAAAAAAAAAGCATTCAATATGGAATGTTTCTATCTTCAAACTACATGTTTGTCTTTAAATTACAAAAATACAAAAATATCTATTCAACAAATTTGAGGTGTATTCAGTAATTACTGCCCATCCAGCACTGTGCTGCACTCTAGGCATCATGCCTGCTGTTTAAAGCACACATCAGAGTAGCTACTGTTATCATCCTCATTTAACAGATGACAACATAGAAGTGACAGTCATAGCTAGGAAGAGGCTTCAAACCCAGACTGTGCTCTAATGCTATAGGAGTCTGAACAGCATTCTTTCTATGCAATGAAGGTACTGAGACAACACAAAGTGGAATTTCTGTCTCAGGCAAAGCTGGAGTTGCAATTCCCAAAGCTGTTAGGAGCAGAGAACCAAGTTTTCATTTTGCACTTGCTCACCACCACCCAGGTTTTATTTCACCCACACTGCTACCCAAGAATTAGACTTTGACTGAAGAATTATCATCTGAATGCAACATCACTCTTGGCAGCTGTTGCATCAAGGCAGGAGAGGATCTGAAGGGATACACAGACAAGACATTAAGAATCTCACACCATCACACAATTTTCATGGCACTGGGCCACTCTTAAACCAGAACTAAAGAAAGGGATGCCAAGTCGTTGCCAAGAAGTTGCCTTCTCAAAGAACAAGCTTCAAGAAATACACCATCACCAATCCATTATAAAGCAGCCAGGTCAAAGGGCAGGCAATGAATGTGGCTAGCTTATTCATCCTTGTTCATCGCTCTTCCCCACCTACCATACAGTAGTCGCCCACCAGAATTTACTGGGTGCCTACCATATGCCTGGCTCTGTGCCATGCGGTGCAAATAGGTCGGTGTACAAGACAAACAGGGTTTTGACTGTGGTTTACTGCGCAGTGCTGAGCACTCTCTACTGGCCAAGTAAGCTCTAACACACGAAACTTCAGGTTCATCCTAAGCACCAGCTCCCCGTGTAGAGCAGGCTTCCTCGATCTCCATCCTTGCGACGTTAGGTTGCAGAAATCTTCGTGGAGGGGACTGTTCTGCACACTGGAGGGTGTTTAGCAGCGTCCCTGACTCCAGCACTAGCTGCAGGAGCAAACCCCGAGTGGTGACTGCCAAAAATGTCTCCAGGCGGAGTGAAGCATCCCGCGGGGCTCACAAACTCTAGTCTGGGTGCGTGGTGTCTCCCAGTCTTCATTCTGCTGCCCCTTCAAATCTCAGCTCCAACCTCACTTGCTCCAGGTCAGCTCCCTGACCTCGCAAAACACATCCGCGCCTTCCTTTCCGTGCGCTCTTCCTACTTTTCCACCCTCCGATTCATCGCTCCCCCTCTGCGGGGACGGCGCGCCCCGGGAAGACGAGCACCGTGCACCCGCCACCCCTGGCGACTGGCACTGGGCCCGGCAACAGGGAAAGCAACTCGGGGAGACCGCCGAGCCGAGGCGGCGAGTGGAGCCCTTCGCTCGGCCAAAGACCAGTCGGGACAGCGAGGGGGGCGGCTCGGTCGCTCTGCGCACGCGCCTCGCCCTCCCCCCACTACGGAGGTAGGGCGTCAGTGGTCCCCTCCTGGCGGGGCAGGCCCTACTGGGGGCTCCGAAGGGGACAGGACTTACGTGATCCTGGAAGCGGGTGGCGAAATCGCTCCCTTTGGGGCCCAGACGCAAGCTACCACGCCCGCTCAGGGCCGCAGTTGGGTCGTTCGGCTCCACTAACGGCCGTTACCACCTCTCCAGGCCGCGCGCCTCACCGCGCGCGCCGCCCCAGCTCCGCCCCTTTCTGCCGCCTACGACCAATCGGGAGTCGGGCCTTGTCGGTGTCCCGCCCCTGCACGCTGCCCTCCGCGCCGGGAGCTGGCGGAACTTTCTGCGCATGACCCGGTGCCTTCCCGACCTTCACCCTCCAGCTCCCGCTGGGTCGCGCCAGGGGCGGAGTCCTGCCCAACCTGGCCAGCCATGGCCTGCCTGGCTTGGCCAGGTGGAGCTGCAGGCGGCCAGGCGAATCTTTAGGGAACCCCATCCAACCCGTGCCACCTCCGATCGACACTCCCACCTGAAGCAGGGGGTCAGGTTGTGACCTGGGGGCCGGGAAGCGTGGCCGTTGCTGGCAAGCCTCAGGACTCAATCTGTGCCTGGGGTCAGGTCTGGCTTAGTCCCTGGTCAAGTGTGTGACCAGGCTTAGGTTGAAGGATTACGAATCAATCTTGCCTCCCTACCCAGACTCAGTGCCGGGGAAAGAAATTACGTTAATTTGCATTTATGCATACTTGAACAATCAACTTGGGAAATTGTTTAAAAGGAGGAACGAAACCATCAGCCACAAGATAGTGGCATTCCAGGTCTCTGGAAACCTAACTTGGAAGAGGAAATTGTGTGACTTAACTTGGAAGTATCGGGCATAAAGTTAATTACTAAAACTTTTCTCAAGAGGATGGATTTGGGAGATGTTTTCTGAAGTTTTATCCCCTGCCTTCTTTTACAACATTGTAAGGTAATATATAGGTGGCATAGAATAGGTTTAATGGATAATGTATGATATGAGAGATGAATTTAGAGGTATAGTTTTATTAAATATAAATGGTGAGGATCAGTGTCTAAATGAATATGCTTGTGTGCTAGGGGGTACGAAATACCCACTTGATGACTTTTGTTTTGTGAGAAGTATCAATGAGAAAGGAGGAATGCATGTAGAAGATTGGGAAGAATGGGGAAATTTTGAAGAGTTGATTGGAATGAAAGAGAAAACAGACTGGAAACACAGTAAGATGCTGAGGTTTAAATTTACAGACGGTACATTTGTATAATTTTCTCCCATGGATGTCTGTATTTTAAAAATAACTTCATTATACTATCAATTTTCAAATTTGAATGACTCCTTGTCTAAAGACTTGTGCTAACTGAAGAGAATATTCAGTTTTTAGATCTAAGGTATTCTTAAATATTTGTTGTTATTAAATTTTTAAGGCTTTGCTTTTTTTTTTATAATATAATAGTTTACTTTTACATCATTTTGTGTCTTTTTCCATCTTGGTTGTAATCCCCGTGGGCTTCCCACCACCAATTCACCCGGGTGCTATCATCATAGTCCAGTGCACTCCCCCCATTTTTTATCCCATTCCCCACTCCACCCCCATAAAATGTAAAGACTAGCATATTTTAATAAAATAATCAACAACTATTCCGTCGACTGGAGCTGGTCAAGCTCCAGGAACTTGGAGCTTGAAATGAGAGTCATAAGAGTCTCCATGTTGAAGTAGAGATTAACTAGTTAAGCTGTTTCATTTTACATTCAGGGAACTGAGGCCCATAGAGAATAAGGTGACTTCACACACACATTTCTCATAAAATGCTGAAGCTTTCTGGTCAGGTTACGGAGAAAAGGAGTCAGTAGAATTCCTTGCTGTTTACACCAAACCTCTCGGTACTGCCCCCTACCATACTGAATGGCCGAACCCCCTCTTTGTAAGAATTAGAGATGGGAAGAGAAAGTAGGATGACGCACAGCCACAGGCTCAGAGACCATGTGCCTTACCAGTTGGGGTGCACATGGGTTCTAGCTTTACCCCCAACCTCAGCAGTACAATTCTCTCATGCACTGCTGGGAGGTGAGAGGCAGAGAGGGTGGCTGACTTCGTTTACGTCACACAGAGTTGAGCTGAGCCAGAATCCAAGACCAGCACGTGGCAGTGCGTGTACTCCCGGCCCCCTGGGTACCAACCTGCCGGACTCCTGTTGCTGGATTCTGAAACCACATGGAGACAAAGACTGAACAAAACAGAGGGAGGGCGCGTCGGGAGCTCGGCTCTCCAGGCGCTCACGACCTGGGACCTCCCTAGCTCGAGTCCTCCCAGGCGGACTCTTGACAAGTCTATGGGAGACACAAACTTAAAAGTTGCGCCCTCTCCCACCCAGCCAGGCTTTGCCAGAGACCACAGAAGGGCCCAAAGGCGGATCACCAAAAACCCGCCCTTTAAACCAATCACAGGCCCCGCCCCCCCGACCCCGCCCCTGGCAGGGCGGACCAATCCCTTTGCACCTCAGTCTCCCGCCTCTTTAACCCCGCCCCCGGCGGCCGCCCGGCCGGGATCCCAGTCCCGCGCTGGCTGCCGCGACTTGCCCGGAGCGCTGAGGCAAAGCCCGGGAGCCGGTCCCGGGCGCTCCCGCTCACCGGCTTGCAGGGACGTCCCGCCTTCTTGTGGCACGGGGCCACTCGACAGCAAAGGTAGAGCGTATCGCTCGTCAAGAAGCGAATCAGACTGAAGGCTGAAGTTGGCTGCTGGCCGGCAGCTGTGGGGAGAGGCTGGTCCTCGAGTGTTAGGAGTCCCGGCCCGGGGGCCGCGGTGCGAACGACAGACACTGATTTCTCCCGTTTTACTTACCCCTCCGGTGTGGACGCTGGCTCTCATGCCGAAAACCTTACCACCGTGTTTCTTTCATCCTTCTATCCGTCCTGGGAGGAAGAACTTCCTCTCCCCTCTCCTCCCTTCCTTTCCTGCCCCACTCCCCTCTTCGCCCTCCCCACTCCTCTCCCCTCCCCCTCTGTCTTTTTCCTTTCTTCTCCTTCTCCAGTTCCCCGTCAATTATCATTTTGCTGACGTGACAGTAGCAGTTCATGGCCAGGTGACCTTTTATTTTTCTTTATACTTTTGTAGTGTTTGGGTTTTCCTCTAAGGTTCTCTATTTTAAAAAACTTTGCTTCTGTCATCTTCGACACAGATTCTCCTGGGCCTTCACAAAGTTATGGTGTCCACTCTGGCCTCGGCCTCGTCTTAGCTGTACTGATAAGCCCCTCAGACTCACCAGTGGGTATACTAGCTGCCATGGCAGGTACAGACCCCACTGCCAGCTGGGTAATTACCCAAAGCACAGACTCTGAGTGCTTTGAGGGGAAACTTGACTGGTCCTAGGCAGGGAAGAGGGTCTTGTCGTCCTCGAGGAGCTGGAGATTAGGGCTGTTGAATGAGCACTGTTGTCTCAGGTGACTGGGCTGTTGCAGTGCAGCACTGGGGCCGAGACTGCTCTGTGCAAAGATGTCTGTACCGCGCTGTGCTGTGGAATCCTGAGAGTCAGTGGTTCTCATGGGCCTGGCGATGTCATCACGGCTGAGTGTGTTTGAGGCTGATACTGCTGTCATGGTGGATGGCTCAGAGCTGCTGCGCTCTTAGTTGTCTGTGAGCTCATGCGTTCACCTGTAGAGAAGCCCTTGTTTCTACTGTTGAAGGAGAGACCTGAAGTTGCGGATGAACACACCTTAGTCTTCTGTGGAGGCTGTTGTTTTTGACACTGTTTGATTTTTACCTCATCTGAATAAGGTGCTTCTCTAATGCCCAGGCATTGAGGTGTGCTGAATCCCACAATGAAACTAAGGTCAGGACTATAATTCCTACTTGTCAGATGAAGAAATGAGGCTCAGACAAGTGAAGACATCTGCCCGAAGTCACGTAGCTGGGAAGTGGTGGCATTGCACTTGGAAGTGGGACCCTAGAGCCCGATATCGTCCAGTGGCATTGCCTCACAAAGCGTCACTGTCATGGCTGAAATAGCCACTTTGGGGAAAATTGATGTCAACATAGAAGGTGCGTGTGCTGACCCTGGACACCTGAGCAGATGCGTGTGCACGTGTGCACCTGAGCCTAGGAGGAAGGGGCTGAAGGGCAGCGTCATGCTGGGGAAAGGGGCTCCGGTTGCTGTCTCCCTGCTGGCTTGTCCCCCTGCTGACCACTAAACCCTGTTAAATGACACCAAGGACTCCAAAAGCTGTTTCACACTGCGAGAACTGCTAGCAGAGAACCTACCAGGCCTGGGGTGGTGGCAGAACAGTGAGGCAGGGGGCTGCTCTTTGCTGGACAAGGGCAGAGGAAGGCAGCAGGGGTTCGAGCCCCTAGGCCTCAGGACTGGGCCAGTGTAGGAGGAAACTAGAGCTGCAGAAACTCCAAACTAGTGGCCTGACCCACCTGGGAAAGATCTCAGAGAGGAGGAGGCAGCTCTAGATAAAACGGGGGGACTAAACAAAGAAAGCTCCCTGGAACAGATGAGGAAGCAAAGCCAGAAGCCCCCTGGACATCCACCATGTTCCTGCCTCCAAATTCTGCCAAATGCCCCAAGGTGTTCAGATAATTTTAGGGGTTCTCAACTGTAAGGAGCACACTTTGCCCCTCAAAACTTGGGGCACTAAGGACAGGGATTATGTCTTTAAGCCAGAAATTTTCAGGGTGTGGATTATCCCATTAGACTGGATGTTCTGCAGGGCAGTCAGTGACTCATCTATCAGGCAAACAAGCGTTGAGGGGCAAGATCTATCTTGCCCATCAGACCTGGGGCAGGGTTCCCTAAAATGTAAGGGATGTACCTGCCAGACACTTGATCCCAAAACAAAACTTTATTGTTAACATGCAGGTGCCTGGCCCCACTGGCCTCACCTTTCTCCTCTCGGTGCTTGGGCACATCTAGTCCATATCTAGCTCTTGCCAAGAGCAAAGGATCAGGGATGCCCATTCTCAGACCAAGGCCTGGCTGTCTTGGTCAGCACCCTCTTCTTCACTTAGGCTCCGACTCTCATCCAGCACTCTTCTCCATCCTGGCTTCTCTGGACCTGGTATTCCAGGCTTCTGCCCAGGTGTAAGAGCATGGGCTCAGGCCAGGCTGTGCCAAGTCATGCTAGTGATGCAGGAAGTTGCAGCGGCTAGACGCGTGCGTGCAGGCCCCTTGGCATCCTCCTGCCTCTCAGCGGCTGGCCTTACGTTTATTAAGGAGCATATTTGTTGTAGATTCCTGAACCTGCAAACAAGAGGTCTTGTCAATTCCCCCATCCTGACATGCCAACTCTACCTTACCCTCCCCGCTCCAGCTTCACCAGCTGCCCAGCCAGGCCTCCCAGTGAAATTCTTTAAATCTCGCCAAGTGTTCCCTCAGAACTTGGGCACCTAGATGGTGGACATTCACAAGGCTCCAGGTCACCCTGGCCCGATCAGATGGTGTGGGAAGCAGAGAAAGAGACTAATGTGGGTAAGGCTCTTTCGCACTCTAAACAAGACTCAGGGGTCCTCTTACCCCAGATCTACCACTAAGCAAGAGCTGAGTTGGCTCAAGCACTCCGAGCACAGGAAGCTAGGAATGGAAGCAGCTCCAGAGGGTGGAGCCTCTGGGTAAGGAGTGGCAGGGACCTAGCCAGGTTGGCAGTGACTACAGGTGTGATTGGGAGTTTAGGGGGCTGGATCATGGTGTAGACAGAAACTTTAGCTCATGGGGCAGGCCTGGGCCAGGTCAGGCAGGGGGTAAGCCCTCCTTGGGTGGCAGAGGGAAGCAGCACCTTGTCTCTTGTGATGAGCGCAGTGATCAAGTCCTGCTGGCGGGTCATTTCACGGATGTCTATGGAGGACCCGCTCTCCAGCGACAGGCTCAGCGACCAGTGCCTATGCATCAGCTCCTCCTCCTGCTCCTGGTTGAAGCGGATGGAGCGCACCTCGTCCACTATACTGGGGGCGGAGGGGTGAGGGTGTTCCACCAGTTGGGAATCGAGGGAGGGAGGAGGAAGAAAGGGGTAGTCCTCCCACCTCTTCCTTGACACCCCCCTTCTCACACTCCCCCCACCCTCCCTTTTCACGGCGTAGAGATCCAGGCCAAGCTGTATACTCCTGTGACACAGAACACTTAGGTCTGGATCCCGGCTCCTCTGCCTATAGGGACAAGTCACATAACTCCACTGGGCCCCAGGGTCTGCATTATAAACACCCAGGAGAATCTGGGGCACTGCTCGACAATGACTCAGGGACTCAGGGGCACCCCCAGTACCACCCCTACTCATTGAGCTCATCTCGAATCTCCTTGTACTGCTTCAAGTTCTCCTGTATTGCCTCCAGCACCAAGAAAAAGTTGTCACAGGTGTTTTCTGAGAGATTTGACAGGGGGGCCCCCGTAAGCGGTTCCTGGGGGAGGCCAGACTTCTCGGAACGGGCGACCACACAGTGCACCAGTGGCAGCTTATTACTCTTATCCTGATCCAGGTCACCCATCTGGGGAGAGGGAAAGGAGAAGATAGGGACAGCTCAGCAGGCCCCTCTCCAACCCTTCCTATCGGCTTCCGGTCAAATGAGCCTGTCTCTGGACACCAGGGTTCCAATGTCCCTCTCTCTAGCTCCAATCAATCTTTGCCTTCTTATCTTGCTATGGATGCTCAACTTCAAATGCACAATCCTTTCCCCACATCTTTGGAAATTCTCAACCCTTTAAAAAAATGTAGGGTCCTTCCCCTCACCATTTCACAACTGATAAACCCTATCGAGTAAACTTCTAAAGTCATATCTACTCTTAAATCACAGCCCAGAATCCTTGACACATTGGCAAGTTACCCTCCTTCCCATGCCCACCCTCTCGGAAAGTTATCCTTTAATCAATAATACTATTGCTAATGAACATCTTTTGAGTTCCTAATTTATTCCAAGTACCATTCATTTACCCAGATAATTTCCATCTTTCTCCTATGAGATAAATATCTATTGAAGAAATTAAAGCTTAGATTGGTTAAATGCCCTAAGATCACTGAGCTGCTCAGTTTTGAATTGCCAAAGAAACAAGACACCCTCAGAAGCCCCTTGAGTTGGCACTCAAGGATGGGGAATATTGCTCTTGGGGATAAGGTGTGGCTTTCCGCAGACCTCTCAGTGAAGGAACACACGTGCACACATGCATACACACACACACGCGCTCCGCTCACCGCTCATAGATACACACCCTTCTCCTTCCTGTCCTCCCACCCCATGTACCTTGCTGAAGTTCATTTGATGCAGTTGCCCCTGCTGCTCTCCCGCCTTCATCATTAACTCCAGATTGGTGGTTACCACAACAACCAACAGGTTGATGCCAATGAAGGCACCGATGGTGATGAAGATGGCAAAGTAGATGGCACCCCCAAACTCCACTGAATATTCCCTCTTTTCCATCCTGGAGGTGACAGGGAGGGATCCTGTCATCTCCCTGGACCTGTGAGCCTCAGTTTCCTCATTTATGAAGTGAGATTATTCAAGGCCTATTAGAATTCTGCTGCCTCCCTGCTACTTGTGTAAACATCCCAGGCCTCTCAGGTTTATGGCTGATTTGGGCAAATGAGAAAGGCATTGTGGAGGTTTAGACATACCTGACATGGCTTTTTAAAAAATTTTTTTAGATTTATTTTATTTATGCATACAGAACTGGGATACAGGCCAGAGGTGTAGGGGTGTAAGAGGATTCACCAAAGACAAAGTGGGGAGCAGAACAGTCAGATCTACTGAAATACACTGCTGAGGGGAGTAGCAGGCGAGACAGGAGAGGTCTGCTGCACCATGTGGGTCACCTCACTGGCTGGGTTGAACTCGTGCTGCAGTGGCTGCAGATAGCTCCATAGTGCTACTCTTTAACCCGGTGCACCACCAAGGAGGGCCCATCTGACATGGCTTTAAAGCTGAAGCAGGGGACCGGATACAGAAGCAGACAGAAACAGCAGCTGCACTGTAGCGAGCATGTGCTGCATGTCAGACAGTGCCAGACCTGCCCGATGGGGATTATACATCGTACTGTTAAATTTAATTGGTTGGTTATACCCTTTATTTATTACCTTCTTATTATAAAAAGTAATGTAAGTTTATGATAAAAAGATCAGAAGGAAATGATAAAGGAAGAAAATTCCTACTGTTCATGCCTTGTTGTAAATCTCCCATATAGTGTTGCCTCACTTCTCTCTTTCCTTCCTCCCATCTCTCCCCTGCCTGTCTGTCAGTCTGTCTCTCTCCCAGGCTCCATGCTAAGATAAGATATTACAGATTTTCTCTATGGCCCTCACAATAATCTGGGAATAGTTAATAACCCCCCTGGATAGATGGTGGAACAAAGACTCAAAAACCCTGTCCACCTTTATCATGCTTTCTGTGCTTTTCCCACTACTGGGTGGTAATTGGTAATTAACACAGAAGCCCTTTCCTAGGCAGGTGTTTACTCTCACATGAAGGAGATGAAAAGAAATCAGGGGGACCTACTTCCATGGTGAGGGGGAAACCAACAGGTTTAGAGGTAATGAGAAAGATGTCAAGCGTAGAATCCAGCATCCATCTATGGCCAAAGTGACTTTAGGCAGCATGCCCCAAGTCCCCTGGCAGGCAGGCAGCTTAGTGGGCTCTAGTGTGGGTTGCCAAGCTGTCCTGAAACCTCAGGTGAACCACAGCCCTGTTTCCTTGCCCAAGGCCTACTCAGCAGGATGAAAAAAGTCTCACTGAATAAGCCCCTGGCTGGATCTTTGAGTTTCCAGAGCAAGAGTGACAGGTTTCACAAGACCCCAGCCCCAGGGTCTACATTCCCCCATTTAAATTCCTGAGCACACTTCCTGCTTAACTAACCCCCTCCCCAGGCCTTCTCCCTCCTCAGGCAATTTTTTGGCACCCGCCTTTCCTATCTGGGTCCCAGGGACACTCACTGAAAATCATTGTAGATGTCCAGCCAGCCATCCTGGGTGATGCAGATGAAGAGAGTGTACAGGGCAACCTGCATGTTCTGGAAATGCATGGGCACGGATGCACCAAAGAGAGTGACCCCAAATACAGAGAACACCTGCCAGAGAGACCGAAGACCCGTCCTGACTTCACCCAGGGGCCTTGGAGACAGGACACGCAAATGCCACGCAAATGAGCTCTGCCAAGGGAATCACAGGGTTCAGACCCACAGGTCTCTCCTCTGCTCCAGACACCCTGTATCCCCAGGGACCCAGGGGCCCAGGTCAGGAAAGGGGAGGCCTGGGCTGGGGTGGGCACTGACCAGCATGAAGAAGAGGATGAGGGCCATGATGTTGGCCATGTCGGGCACCGACTGCAGGATGACGCGGATGATGCGGGCCAGGGGCTCCACTGCCATGCACACGTGCACCAGACGCAGCGTCCTGTGGCAGAGCCTCTCAGGGATGCCCCCAGGCCCTGCCCAGGTCCATCCCTCTGCACTGCCTCCCCCATCCAGAAAGGCAGCACTGACCCCTAGCTGCTAACCACCCCCCAGCTCTTTCCCAAGGCCCACAGGTGCTCCAGAGCTTCCAGCTCACCTGAGGGTGTAGGTGATAGCGATGACATTGAGTTCATTAATGAAGAACCCCAGGAGCAAGGTAAAGATGATAAGGAAGTTGAGGATGTTCCAGCCGTCCTGGGGGGGTGGGCCAACCCCCACGGGGTCTGTAAGGCCCAGCCCAAGGGCTTCCTGGGCCTTCCCTCCCCACATTCCTGGGATCTGGGGCTCAATGTTCTTTTCAGAGCAGGGCCAGTCAACTAGGGCCAATCACTTGCCCCTCACTCTGCTGCCCCCAAACACACAATGAACATGCAGACACTTACTGTCTCATACACGTATCAGCTGCCACGCCAAGCCTGAGACGCAGAGGAGGCTGGCACACACACAGCTAGCTCCTAAGCCAAGCCCCCAGTCTGGCCACACTCTGAAAACGGCCCTGCCGGCCAGGCCACCTGAGTGTGTTGCAGTGCTCCAGGCTTTGGGTGACACACACTCAATTTATCAAGGAAAACTGCTTCCGTAGCCAGTTCCAGAGACACAGGCATATTTTGCAAACCCTTTGTCCAATAAGGTACAAACTTATAGGAGTAGAGATGGGAGATGGAAGCTCACATACATGAAAACAGCCTGTGAGAGACAGGGAAACTGGCTGGGAGAAAAGACATCTGAGTGATGTGAGCTGACAGGAGCAGCACTCACCACTGCCTCACTAGCTCGTCCATGGTGGACGGGACCACTGCCTCACTAGCTCGTCCATGGTGGACGGGACCGTGCCTGCCTCATGCCTGTGTGTGTGTGTGTGTGTGTGAACCTGTGTGTATGCTGGGCAATGCATCATCCTATTTCACGTCTGTCCTTCCAAGTGCCACTTGCACCAAGCTGTCAAAAGATAGCCACACTTTATAGACATTTTGTTCTAGATTCTACATTCTGTGTTCCATAAGATGAGACTTCTAATTCCTAGAACACTTGTAACCCTAATGATGTGCAAATGATGCCTCCTTTAAAGATATATACACTTACAGGTTTTCTTTTTTTTTTTTTTAAAGCCTCTTCTCACACACATTCTGAGATAAAGCAGATCCCTGATTCCAGAAATCCCTTCACTCTAGCAGTCCTGTTCACAAAGGATCGGGATCTTTTCTCATTTAGAGTAAGGAGTCCCATTCCTATGCAGCCAGCATTCGGAACTGCAGAACTGAGGGTAGCAAACTACCACAGTGGGGCCAGATCTCATTGGCAGCCCTTTTGGTTTTTTGAATACCCTCTGGCTAGGGATGGTCTTTATATTTTCAGATGATTGGTGGGAGTTTTTTTACTAAGAATCATATTTTGTGATGTAACGTCAGTGTCCACCAGCAGCAGGGGCCCATGAGGGCCACAGATGCTGCCTGGCCAGAAGCCTAAAATTTTTATCTGGCGCTTTACAAAGAAAGTTGGCTGACTCCTGCTCTTGAGCCCTATAAATTAAGGTGGAGCCTCTCAATCGCATGTTTCAGATAAGGAAATCAAGGTTTTCCCACGATCACAAGACTGGGGAGCAGGGACAGGGGCCGGGGAGACTGGGCTTCTGGTACAAGCAACTTTCTGCTGCATCACAGACATGCCAGGCTGTCTCTTCGCACACACGTCCTGGGACACACATACACACAGGGCCAGAGCTCAGGGCTTGGGTTGGGACTGAGTGGCTGCACTTCCTAGGGAGGAGTAGGGGGATGTAAGGAGGGCCCAGGATCTCACCTTCCAGAAAATCCAGAAGCCGTTTAACCAGCCGAGAAGAACCTCACAGATAAGGATGGTCAGCACAATTTCATCTATGGTAGAGAACAACTCATAGTGTTTCTACATGGAAGACAGAGAAAAAGAGAGGGACAGAGAGGTCAGTGCAGCGGGGCCTGGGCAAGGCCAGGGGACATCTGCAGGGGAGGGAGGGCCCACGTTCCTGCTGCTCTTCAACCTCAGGCATTTGAAGCTCCCTAGAGCTCTCTTGCCATGTTCCTGCCAGGCACTGGGCAAAACCCACGTGCGTGTCACCCCAAGTCACCCATCAGCTACCTATCTTCCAGTGAGCAATCACAGAGGGACCACTGTGTGGTGACAAACCTGTGCTCCTTGCCTACAGAGTAGGCAAGGGGTGCCCCTTACCTGGAAAGGGGCGCAGAACAGGCTCCAGGACCGGGAGGGAAAGCCCGGGCCCCGGGGTGAGGGAGTCCGCCCTCTTCTCCCTTCTCTAGTCCCAACCACCCCTGCTGTTCCAGTACCACAAATGCCCCAGGCCACGTTGACCAAACTCCTGGGGATCCCCTCACTCACGAGTCCAGGACATGTACTCTGGGTGGATGGATTGATGGGTAGACGACTTTAATGATCGTGAGTTCTATCAAAAACTCAACACATTTCACCCAACCAAAATACTCCTTCAGCACCCATGAAGTTGTCACCTCACTAGAGTGGGTGACCCCGTTAACAGCTCCTACCCCCTTGATGCCACCCCAGCAGACACCAGTCAGTCACCTTGCACCCTTCCTTTCTATCCATCTCCATGGTTAATGGGCTGGGCACCCCAAGTATTGCTGCCACACAGAGAGGCCTCCTATCATCACCCCCATCCACTGGCCAGCAAGAGGAGGGAGGTTAGGGTGTGTGGATTCGTGCTTGTTCTGCTTTCCCAAATGGTGGTCAAGGGTGTCTGTCTAAGAACTCTTTCCCCTCAGCTGACCCTTGCCCCACCCTGAGGGCCATGGGCTGTTTTCACTATTTACTGAAAATGCTTCCTGGAGTCTACCTGCCCTCTGGGAGTCATGGTCATCTTTAGCTAAGTCAAAGTTCCCCTTCTATCCACAAGCTCTCTCTGGCTCTCTGGCTCTCTGTGGCCTGCAGCGAAAGGCTCAAGGTCCATTCACGGGCCTCTAGGACTTGACCTTCATGGACTTGCATTCTACACCAGGGCTTTCTGCATTTCTGACTGCGGCCTGCAGTAAGAAATAACACTGTGTTGCTGTAACACGTGCACACTTTCTCTCCTTCCCTTCTCTCTCCCTCCCCCTCTGCAATTCTATTTTCTTCTTTTTCATTCTGATTCAGTGAAATACTCCTACTCCGTGCCTTCTGTACCTACACCTGCATGGCTTCATGGCCCATCATGGGGTGTGATGTGCCCTCCTGTACCCTCCACAGTGTGGACTATGGCAGGGAAGGGCGAGGGTGGGGGGAGACAGCTCAGCCTGCAGACCTTGGCCATGGGGTCTGCCGCCACATAGGCAAAGTGATTCTCAGCAATGTCTCAAGACTACATCCAGGGGCCTGCCCCCTGGCCACCCCTGACCCGTGCCCTCTCCTTTGTGATCCACTCTCAATCCACTCCTCCTCAGGTCCCTTTGCGCACACACACCCCATTTACTTCTGCACTTGCAGATTTTCCTCAGAGCCCTGTGTGGGCCTCTTCTCATGCAACACTCTCCCTGTGGGCCAGCCCCCTCCATTTCTTCCACCTCGATGCCGCAACTCCAGTCACCTCCATGCTAGTGCTCTCAGCAGCCTTCAGAACTGCCTCCAGGCCCTCACTAGACAGTGCGCACTTCACACAGATGCTTCAAACATTACACAACTCAAGCTGACCTCAGCTGCCTCCCCAAACCTGGTGTCCTCCCACAACTGACTGGCCCAACAAACAGCACCATTCCACAGCTTGCTCAAGGCAGAAATGTAACTTCTTGTCCTCCCTCTCTACCTGCATGAGACATTTGACGAGGTAGTGCCTAGTAAGTGCTCGCTTGGTGATGGCTTGATGCCTATAAAGTCAATCAGGAAGCTCCATGAATTAGACAACGTGAAGCTGAAAGAGCTTCACGGGCACATGACTTCGCTTCACCCTCTGCCACTGAGCTGGTCCAAGCCCCACCATCTTTTCACCTGAGCATCTACAACAGCAGGCTGGCCTGTCAGCCTACCCCCTGCCCCTCCCTGCCTGCCCCTCCTCTCCACACTGGCAGTTAGTGTCAGTTTTCTAAACCGTTTGTCTAGTCATAATGCTTCCATGCTTTAAACTCGTCCCTAGTTTTCCCATGACACGGGGACTAAGGGTCACCCTCCTTAACATAACTGAAAGACCCTGTGTGATCTGGCCACCAATCAACTTCCTGGACCCATCCATCACCATTTTAAAAATATTAATATTTTAGGGCCCTCCCTGGTAGCACAAGGTGTTAAAGCTCAGCACTATGAAGGTATCAGCAGTCACTGCAGCACACGTTCAATCCCCAGCCAGGGAAGTGACCCACATGGTGCGGCAGACCTCTCCTGTCGTGCCGCTGCTCCCTCAGCAGTGTGTTTCAGTAGATCCATCCATTCTCCCTACTCCGTCTCTGGTGAATCCTCTCAGCCCTGCACCTCTGGCCTACATCCCAGTTCTTGTGTGCATAAATAAATAAATCTTTTAAAATAATATTGACCCTCAAGGGTCAAGCACATACAAGTATTTAGTCTATTCCATGCAAGAAATGAAAACATCAAGGATAAGGACAGTCTTTCTGAACTCCAAGTTGGACACACAGGGGAGGGAGACCAGCTCAGGGCGCAGCATCTGGCTGCACGCCAAGTTGGACACACAACTCACTTCTCTGCTGTTTCTTCTGCCCACGCTTTCTTCCCCACCTGCTTGGCCAACTCTGACTCACGCTCTACTCTCAGCTTAAGTATTGCTTTCTCCAAGAAGACTTCTCTGGCCCCAGAGTTAAGGTCAATGCCTTCTGGGGGCTCCCACATGTTCTGTGTGACACTCAGGCATTTGTCACACCCCGATTGTGTCTGTCTGAGGCAGAACTGGGAGCTGCGTTCACCCCTGGAACAGCACAGTGCTGGCTCAGAGTTTCTCCCTCAGTGACTATTGATTAACACGGATGCCCTTCCCTACAAAGTGCTTGTTTGCCCGCCTCTGCCCAGACCACTGTCACCTGCTCTTCCTGCACACATACCATAATGCCAAGTGAGGTCCCTTTACCATGGAGTCTTGATCTCTAGAGCGCTGCAAAGTCAGAGCTGACAGACCCTTGTAGAGCATCTCCCTCACCCAGCATGGACAGATAGGGAACCTGAGGCCCAATGCCCCTTGCCCAGCCCCTTGTTAGGTTAGTGGGGCAGAGGTCAGCTTGGTGCCCACCTGGTGAAGGGCGGAGTTGGTGCGGAGAGCGATGGTGATGGCGTTGATCACCAGCAGCACCGCCAGCAGCAGCTGGAAGACCGGGTGTCGGAGCAGCTGCTTGATGTACATGCGGGTGATGAACTCCTCCATGTCCCAGGCATCCTGGGGGAGGGCGGGACCTTCTTCAGGCAGGCATCACCGTTGCTATTTGCGCTCAGTGAATGAGGGTGGGGGATTTTCTAGGAGGGAGGCTGCTGACAGGGCATCATGGAATGGGGTTATAAGAGTGGAGAGGAAAATGGGTCACTTCAGGGGGGATCACCATGGGGGTCATGGCAAGGAAGACTCGGGGTTCTCGCTTGATGAGTGACTCAATATATTGGGGCTCATTATCTTGGAACCACTGTCAGGTGGCTCCTCACATCCTGGGGGGTTGCTACCCGGTTGCCTATTGAGGAGGATATTCTGGGGGCACATTTAGAAGGCAGAATGCATAGTTACTCTGAGAGCCCAGTACCTCCTGGGCACAGCTGCAGAAGGGTCAGCGTGGGGCGAGGATTGCTTCAGCCCGTCTCGTCCATACCTTTTTCCAAGTGATGTCGTGGCGGTTGATGAGCACTTGATCCTCCAGCTGGACATAGGGCTCCCGAGTGCTCCTCTGCAAGATGGGCCCTCCTCAGTGCAGCCGCTGGCCCGCTGACTCAGCACAGCCCGTGTGTCCCCCCGCCCCCCAGGATGGGGCATGAAGCCAGGCAGGGGCCACGTACCATGTATTTCAAATGTCTGACATTGGTGGTGTCGGTGTATTGCTGCCACCACATTCTCTGATTATCACCCATAGCTGTCAGGCTTCTCCAACACTTCAAAGAAACTTCACTCCAAGAGGCGTGGCGCCCCCTCGTGGTGATATCATAGAGGCCTCTGTGACCCCACCTGCTGTCTGCATTCCACCAAGGAATTCTAGCACTGAGCGAGGCTCCTCCCACTGGCCTTGCAGGGTACCCCACCAAGGGAGTCAGACATTAAAGGGCTGGGCTGGGGACAGAGGCCATGGGAGCAGGTCCCCATGCAGCCAGGAGGAGACAGAGATGGGGCCCTGCACCCTTGTGTTGGAGGTGACGCTGGGCCGAGGAGAGGAGAAAGGTATTTTGCCCCAGTGCTCGCATATGCAGACCCCAACCTGGACCCATTTCCCACGGGTCACCCCATCCCATCCCATTTCCAGGGTCACCCATCTGCCTTCCATGTGAGGTGCGTTTCCCCACCCAGAGAGGGAAAGACTGGTCTCTGTTTCTCACTCTGCCCCCTGCCCAGGGGATAGGGCAGGAGGGTACCCTCCAGTCTCTAAGGGCTGGAGAGACATCCAGTTGACAGCTCTTCACCCAGTCCCCTCTGGGAATGAATCAAATTCCTAATTCTGATAAGGAAGTCAAAGACACACTGATTCATTTCCGAGAAATTAACTTTACTTGGTACTTGTGGACAGAGAAGAACATGTGTGTACTGACTCATCTGGGGAGCAGGGAAGGGCAGGCTTGTGCTCCCGAGGTTGGGGACCAGGGGCGGGGGGAGAGGACTTGCAGCCAGACCTTCCTGCTCCTCTGGCAAGGGAGGGGTGGAGTGGCACAAAGCCCACTTCACTTCACCCCACTCTAGAGGAGAGAGGAGCAGAAACAACAGAAGCTGAGGCAAAGGGCATCAGCATGGAGTGAAGCTATGGCCCACGCTCCAGCCTTGAGCAGAATCCAGCACTCAGAGGCCGGGGAGGGAGGTGGCCCTCAGGGCCAGAGCCCAGGAACTAGGCTATTAGTGGGGGCCAGAGGTCAGGAGGTCGGAGGTGGCTCGCTGAGGTCAGGGGGCAGAAATGAGGCTGCTCCTTGGGGGCCAGAGGATAGGGGGTGGGAAGAATGTTCTCTGGAGTCAGAGGTAGGGACTCGGGAGCTGCCTTCCACCTGTACCACGCCCCAGGCCGCCAGGCCCTCGGAATAGAGGTCCTGGTTCCGCTCCTTCCACCTTCGGAACTTCTCCCCCGTCAGCTCAGGGTCACCTAGCACTTCCTCCAAGGCCTGCAGCTCCTGCATCTTTGCCTGTGAGGGCGATAGGAGCCAAGGAGCCATGACCACCCAGGGTGGGGCACAGGAGTCCGCCTCCCACTGGCCCGTTCCAGCCCGCATTCACACATGGAGAGCCTGGAGCTTGGCCCCTGCACAGCAGAGCCAGAGGAGCGCCAGGCCCCCGCCCGCCCTGCTGGCCCCCAAGGCCTGCAGCTCCTGCATCTTTGCCTGTGAGGGCGATAGGAGCCAAGGAGCCATGACCACCCAGGGTGGGGCACAGGAGTCCGCCTCCGAC